AAAAAACAAAAAACACTACAATCTTTGGGAAAATTAGCCAACATTTTAAAGAATTTAAAATTTTTTGTTTTACTTTTCACCTGTGAGTGCAGTGTTGACTTGTTTAAACTGGATGAATATTAAATTAAAGCAAATATTTGGTCACAAACATTTGTAAAGTTACTGAGATCTATTTTTAGTTAATTTTTTTAATGGATGTCTGTTTAGGTTCATTTTTTTGCAAAATGAATGTCCAGTAGATGTCCAGTTGTTCCCGTGCCATTTGTTGAAAAGATTGTTGCATTTCTTTGCCTTTGCTCAGTTGTCAAAGATCAGTTGACTATATTTGTGCAGGTCTATTTCTGGGCTCTCTATTCCATTCCATTGATCCACTAATCTGTTATTTCATCAACATCACTTAATCTTAATTACTGTAACTTTATACTAAGTCTTGATATCAGATACCACATTTGGGCAGTGTTGGTTCTCCAACTTTCTTCTTTTACTTCAAATTTCTGACAGCTATTCTGTGTCTTTTGCCTGATGCTTCCCTTCTGAGTATTTTTTGAAGGTAGTGAGATAGTATAGAACTAGTTATTAGTATGCTGTATGGGAATCTAGTAGATATTTTAAACTATTTGGAATTTTTACTTATGCCCCAGTTCACTTAAGTCATCCGGAAATTTGAGATGTAAAGGGAAGTTGATAACATAAGTTATTGTGGATGTGAATCAAAATAAGCTTAATTTTCCAGAAAAAATTATAAGTCTAAGAAGATTAATTTTTATGTTGCAAGATAATTTTATAGAAGCAATTAAGAAAATACATATAAAATACATTAAGAAATACATATAAAATAGTAGAATGCATAATTTTAACAGAGAACTGTTAATTTAAAATATAGTTAATTTAGATATGACACTTTTAAAATCATTTTGTTAAAGTATTAAAACAATTTTAATGCCATTGTGTTCCTGTGCTCTCTTGTTCTAAAATGTTAGTAGTAATTTCTATGTCAATATCTATTATTTGATAACAAAATTTATTTATAACTGAATTGAAACAGCTAAAATTTTAATTAATATTACTCTGGAATATTTAATTAGAGTATTGAGCAAAAGATTTTTTAGGTCACATATAAAGGCCATTAATGTAGGAAATTTTGCCTACATAATTGAACACTAAATAATCAACCAATTCTGCCAGTTAAAGCACACTTGATTAAATTAGTTGATTATTAACTTGATGAATAATTTTATTAAACATGTTTGATAAGTTTATATAGGCATATTCTATGTTTTTAGGCAGTTTATTTTCTAATGTGCAAAAATAAGAGAAGTCAGAGCAGGGATGAACTGCATCAGTCTAAAGTACTATATTTTAGTAAGCATACATTGCCTTAACACTTTTTACTGTAACTTTTAGTTATTAATCAAATTTCTTTTCATGACTAGTTTGTTACTCCACTTTTCACTGTTTCATTTACAAGTAACTTATACAAATAATGACATTTTTTAAATAGCAAATTAAGAAGACAATGTGAATTGAATCAATGCTGTTTTAAAGTACTTACTTTGGTATTTTTTTACTAGTGAGATTATGTGGGAGAATGCCACCTGAAGATGGAAAATTTGTGAGATGCACTTACAAACTGAAAATTTATTCAAATAATTTATTCAACTAATGAACAATAATTACGCATATATTATGTACCAGTCACTTTTTTAGGAAGTGAAATCCAGAAACAAATAATTCTCATTGTTATGGTGTGTATTTTATTCCCTAAAAGAAGACATATTGTAGTCCTAACCCCAGTCCCTCAGAACATGCCTTTATTGTAAAATAGGGTCTTTATAAACTTAGAACTAAGTTAAGATGAGATCATTACTGTGAGTCCTAATTCGGTATAACTGGTGTCCTTATAAGAAAGGGAAGTTTGGTCACAAACACACAGAGAGAAGATAGTGTAAAGAGACATAAGGAGAATGCCACTTGAAAATGAAAGATTGATGAGATGCATTTACAAACTGAGAAATACCAAAGATGGCTAGTAAACCATCAGAAATTAGGAAAAGACAAGAAAAACACCTTCCAGAGAGGGCGTGGCTCTGCTAACACCTTGATTTTATACTTCTAAGCTCCAGAACTGTAGGTCAATACATTTCTGCTTTTGAAGCCGCTCGATGTACGGTACTCAGTTATGGCAGCCCTAGTATACTAATCACTCAATGTCTGCATTCAAATCTAATAGGAAAACAAAGTTATGGAAATACTTGCTATACATTTTTATAAATTTTATGATAAATATTGAAGTAACAATGTGATATCTTTGTGTAATAGTTGCAGTAATGATCTCACATTTTGTCCTCAGCAAGCACCTAGGTATGCAATAAATGTGTTAAATTATATATTATCTGATCATAGTGGCTAATTCTACTTGAAGATAGGGATAGCCAATATTTAAATTTTGATTATCAGGAGATGCCTTCAAGACTGGCAAGATTGAAAAAAGAGCCTTAGTTTCATTCAAAGTATCCTAAGAGAGTACCTGACTCCATATATAAAAACAAAGCATTAAAAAGGAAACACTGAAGTTTAAAGGTGGAAAAATCAAGGAAGTCTGGATTAAAAAGGTCAATTGGTACAAAAATTAAGGAGTGAGTGAGATTAGAAAATAAGCAATAATAATTAAAGAGTATGCTAATAAATCCTATTTGTAACTTTGTCTATGATAACTACAAAGAACAGCAGGCCCATTTGGTACATTGCTCAAATTTATTGGGAAAATGTGCCAAACTGTCTGTTTACTTTGTTCACATAAAATAATGTAATTTGAAGCCCACGTGTCCAGAATAAATTCATTTGAACTGAATTAATTGACAAATTATTGAGTAAAACTTAACTATTTAAGTCAACAATGTCAGTTTTTCTTTGGGCAGAGATAATTACAGAGCTAATCATATTTAAGTAGAATAGCAAGAACATTGCAACTTGTAGAATTTATTTCCACAGTCAGGGTTAAGAACACATTCATCATCAGCAAAAGTTCTCATGGCATTTTCTATATTTCCTGCTCCATTCTCCCATCATCACAAGGCAACTGCTGATATGCTTTCTGTCTCTATGGATTAGTTTGCTTTTTTAGAATCTTACATAAAGTAAACCAAGAATGCAGGCTTTTTATTCTGGTTTCTTCTTCTCAAAGTAATTGTTTTGAGTTTCATACATGTGTTGACATACCATAATTTGTCCATTCATATATATGTAGACATTTACAAGGTTTCCCATTTTAATATTACAAATAAAGTAATTAGAATCATTTTGAAAATGTCTTTTTGTAGACATACACTTATATTTACCTTGAATAAATACCTAGGAGTTGAATTGTTGAGTTGTAGGTCAGATATAATATTTCAAAAATCTGTCAAACCACTTTTCAAAGTGTTGGTGCAGGTTTTACTTTTCCACCAGAAGTGGTTGATCTCCAGTTTCATCAACATTACAAGATCAATCTTTGTAATTTTGCTCACTACTCTGCATTTGCATTGGCATCTCATTATGGTTTTAGTTTGCATTCCCTTGTTATTTTAATAATCTTTTAAATTATTTTAGTGACCTTTCATGGATTGATTTCCCATCTTTTTCAGTGAAAATTTATTCAAATATTTTGTAGATTTTATTTGGTTATTTGTCTTCATAGTACCGGTTTGTGTTTTTCACATATCCTAGATATAAGCTCTCTGTCAGATGTATATTTTGCAAATACTCTCTTCTAGCCTGTGACTCACTTTTTCCTTTTAAAAAACAATATTTTTTGAAGCAAAAATATTTTAATTTGATGTAGTCCAAATTTTTGATTTGTTCATTTATAGTTTGTGATTATTGTGTTCTATATAAGTTTTTATTTTTTGTCAAACCCATGATTACTAAGCATTTTTCTTTTGTGCTCTTTTAAAAGTTGGTACCTTTACTTCTTACATACAAGTCTATGAACAATCTTAAGTTAATTTTTGTATATTCTGTAAGGTCAAGATCATTTCTTTTTTATTTAAATACTCAAATGTTCCTACAACATTGTTGAAAGA